GCTGTACGGTAAGGTGATGGTGGACCCTCAGACGTGCCTCGAGGTCTTCAAGAACCACTGGAGACAGGCGTACACCATCATGTGCCGCCATATTCCCACCGCCGCGACCATCTACCACCGCGTGGCCCTAACGGGCGACGAAGTCCAGGCCGTCGTGAACTACGTCGACCAGATGATGAACCTCCTGGTGGAAGAAGAAACCGTCAACGGGAAAATCGGGCCAATGCTCCAGTTCCTGACCAACGAGAACATCATGGAGAAACTTCTGGACTGGAGCGTCGAGCACCGCCAGTTTGCGGACGAGATGAAACATGAGCAGCTCAAGGTGTACGAGACGTTGCTCTGCGGCTCGCCGCAACCGGTTTTGCATCAGAGGCACATCCTGAACCCGCTGCTGAGGCTACTCGGGATGTGTTCGGACGCGACGACGCTGGAAATCGAGAACCACCTGATCCTACTGCTGAACCAACTGTGCGTGAGTCTCTACAAGGATCCGTCGTTGTTGGAACAGTTCTTCAACGCGAAGGCGGACCACGGCCCGGCGAAGTTCCTGATCTTCTCGCTGCTGATTCCGTACGTGCACCGAGAGGGCAGGATTGGTCAGCAGGCCCGCGACGCGCTGCTGCTCTGCATGTCGCTGTCGGCGGAGAACGAGACCGTGGGGACGTACATCGCGGAAAACTCCAACTTCTGTCATGTAAGTAGATTTCAAGTCATCACTTTTATCACTTTACAGGGCTCAAAATGCTCCAGGTGCATGTTTGTTTGTTTGTTTCGCATAACCGGTAAACCGCCTTTAGGCGTAACACACCAGTTTTGTACATGTACGCACCAGACCGGACTGTAATGTTTGAACCACTCACACCGGGAAGGTTCCCTACTCTTTTCGATAAGTGTGGTGGGTTCTTTAACGTGCGTGGAGCGTGGCTGTCCCCAAAGACGGGACCTCCATTTAACGTCCTATCCGAGGGACGTCCCTAACCGAAGCTAGGTACTCATTTCCACCTGAGTGAAGTGAGGAAAGTCGTGTTAAGTGCCTTTCCCAAGGGCACAAGATTGGTGACATGGGCAGGGTTTTGCCCTGAACAGTTGAAAACAGTCCTTTTCTTCCTAGTTGTTATGTTTATTCCATCTTTCAATGCAATGGTATCATTAAAAGTTCAAAATTCATTGTTTAAATTTTGAACCAGCCTGGTGTGTTGACTTCATGGCTCCTATCGTACCATTTTGGGCCATAATAGGATGCCTAGGCCTGTTTTTATTTTATTTATTTTTTCGCCTGCCCGCTCCATTATTTTTGTAGAAAAATCCGTTAACCAAGAAATTAAATTGGTGTGGCCTAAGTGAAACAATTCAATTACTCTGTAGCTGTAAGAGCTATACAGCTATTTGTGGTACATGATACATATGGGTTACATAAATGGTCAAGAATGCAGATGTTTTCTCAGTCGAAACCAGACAAGATAAATACATAATACCGTTACGTATTTATCTATTGAAGACTATCTCAAGAATGCTTATCGCTGAAGACCTTTGTCTAGAAAGTACAAAGAGTACTTATAAATATGATATTGACTCTATCCATTGAGTTGGACATGCCACTGTCTAGCAGTCTGTT